TTAACTATCACTAAAATCCTCCCCTCCAAGTTATTTTGCTGGTAAAATTTTATTATGAAGGCAGGTAATGTTAAAAATAACAACACACAGATTTAACACAGAAGTTTATTTATTTTCAATTTAAAATCTTTTCCATAATCAGTTGTTAAAACACAAGTTAAAATCATTTATTCATCATCAATTATTAAAAGAAATATAGAAGTCTCTAAATATTTTAAGCACTTCAGGCATAACAGTCTCTGCTAATCCCAAACTTGCCCTTGGGCATGGTTCTCTTGCCAATACACTTCAGGTGCACCCATTGAAGACAACAGTCACAGAGCACAGAATCTATGTTCAAGTCCTGTCTACACAGTTCACACAGCCACTGTGCTGACAATCTCAAATATAATATTGATTCTTAGTTCTAAAACACTATATTTACTGGCAAAATAGCCTATTTGTATTTTTTTTGTTGCTTCTTTTAACTCATAGTGTACCAACTGTGAAATTTAAGCCCCAAACTCAGACCTAACACACTCTATTGATACATTATTTCTAATAGTCTGTCTTTGTTATAGGATTTGTAGTGGCTCAGAACAAGAAGTTGGCAAGCAAGAGTTCAAATCCTGCTCAAGAGCGTTACATTCGCTTTTGCACAAATATGTTTGTGAAAAGTATGAATCCATCTTCACCCCAGTTATTGGTTAAATAGAGAGGACAGGGAGGGGCTCTTTAGCTGTGGATGTTGAAGAAACACAAACAGGCCAGAGTAGATGAGAATACTTAGAAGTGAGCCACCATACTGACGATGATGAATTCCACTGATTTGCAAAGTGATTATGTCAAAATGGCTCTGCTGTTGGTGCCTCTGCTGTTTGATCCTTTTTCAGGACCAGGTGAAGTAACTCAGTATTCAATGGTGCCCTCACCCAGTTTTCCACTGGCTGGCCAACGACTACCCCACGTTGTGTCTCCATCCTTGTTTATGTCAGTGTGCACCAAAAACTGAGAAAGGCCCATTGCAAACTCACAAGGGAATGAAAGCTGAAACTAAATGCTACAGTGAGGAATGTGGACATGAACCCTGTTTTCACTTGCTCGGTCTGGGTAGGTATACATGGGATAAACTTCTGCCATTTCAGACTAACAGATCGGCTCCTCTATCTGACTCTTCCTCCAACTAACTTTCTGCCCATCTCAATATCACAACACATGGCTGGCAACTCAAACAATCATTATCGGGACTACCAGAGAGGTAGTTTGTTTCCCTGAATAGACAGTCCAAAAATCAACTCAATCCCAACTATGACCATTAATATAGACCCACAACCAGTCTGGTTTGTTGTTTGGCGGCAAAAGTTTTCTTTTATTCTCCCTAAGTGGCTAACCATTTTGAAGACTATATCTTACAGAATTATTGATGGTGATAAAACCAAAACACTTTTGAGACAGCCCCCCTTTCTTTGGCCTTGTTCTACAATTACTGTATCAGTAATAAATCTTATACAGCAATAGAATCTCACACCTATGTGAATATCACAATCTTAGTGTTACAGATGTATCATTCCTTGTTCAGCCATGGCCAAGGATAAACAATATTTTTGTTCCAGAGAACTATTTCTCAAAACTTCAGAATCATTCTCAGGTTGTCTAAGGCAAGTTCCTAGGAGATTATTTTTGTTATCACTACTCTCATGTTAAGCTGACCTGGTTTTGAATTTTCCACTGAGGAGATAGATAAACTCTCTCTGCTGCTGTCTAGAAACGTAAACATGTTTCCCAAAGCTGTTGCCACTGAATTACTTGACCTACTTTATTCTTACCGCTTATCATCCTGTTCACACTCCTCCTCTTTGTTTTGAAAAAGAGTAGCGGTTTATCCCTTGTTTCCTGTTTAGGATTAGGCTTACGGTTCCTTCTAAAATCTACTTAAACCCTATACTTCTAACTTCTCTGTCTGAACTGTGAAATTTTATTTACTAATTTTATTTTTCTCTCATCAATTGGACGAGATAGGTTCGCCTATTGTCCAGTTCACATTCCTCTCCGGTTTTTTAAACAAGAGTAGTGGTTTATCCCTTGCCAACCCCCCCCCCTCTTAGGATCAAGTTTCTCATTCTCTTTCATTCTCAGTAGCCCTTTGTGTTATAATGGCATTATCAACTTGCTTGGGGTGAGTTGATTAAAAAAGAAAATTTTAGTCTCGCGTTTATCCTTATTTACATTCAGACTAATATCCTCCTCCATGATGTTATCATGTTTTAACAATAAAAAACTATTTATTTATTAAGTAGCTTATTTACAGTATTTGTTTATTGGAATAATTGGCAAAACATTGGCTAATTGCCAATTGATTTAAACTTTATAAAATGGTAAATAATAAAGATTTCCTTATAGTTAGTTCACATATTTTAACAATTTAGCAAATGTTTAAAAATTTATGAATAAAAAATTGTTTTCATATTTATTTCTTTAGATATTGGTAAATGATAAATATTGCATTGCATTAGTTCTAACTGTATTAGTTTTTAGAATGCTGTAAATATAAAATTATTCTTTTAAATAATCTAATAAATAATTGTGTTTAATATTTTTGTTGTAAAAAAATGTATAAATTCACTTTCATCATGTTTAGGTTTTATTCCAATCCTAATCATCACTTTTTAAAATGATAAACATCGCTGTGGAGTGAAGGTAGTTAAAATAATAGTGGTGTCAAGGAAAGAACTGTCCTTTTGACACACTTTTTTTTTTTGCAGCCGTGAAGGTCCAGGTTTACCCCAAGTCATTACTATTAAATAATGGTACGTTAATATTGGAAAAGAAAACTGTTTCTTTGGCAATTCTGACAAAGTTCCATTTCACTTGGATTTATAATTTATAAAAGCAGTGTTAATTAAAATTGGGAAATAATGGAGCAGTGTCAGCAAAATGTTGAAGAGAAACATATTGAAATATTGGAGTCTGTTTTTCATAATGTACAAAACATTTGAATATATTATAAATTGGTAAATGCATTAGCTTTTAGAATGTAAATATAAAATTATTCTTGTAAATGAACAATCTAATAAATAAATAGTGTTAAATATTTTTGTTTATAAATACATTTTCATCATATGTTTAGGATTTATTTAAATTCTAATCATAGCCTTTTAAAGCAATAAACATTGTCAAGAAGTGAAGGTAATTAAAATAATAGCAGTCTCAGGAGAAAAACCTTGCATTTGAAACATTTTTTGTAGGTTAAAGATAGCCCAATTTTGAATCATTGATCTAAGAAAATGATTATGTATACTATTTTCTCACAATCAAGCTAGTTAGACATTAATATCAATATGCTTAGTTTAGTAAAGCTCAAAGTCATATGGGGAATAGAATGAGTTTAAGATGAGGTTACATCAATCCTCTAAACAGAAAGATCTTGCCTGGTTTGAAAATCAGCATTTAAACTCTGCTTCAGTGTAATCATTCCACTTCATCTCAGTGGAAAACATGAAACCAAGAAGATGCAAGGCATCACTCTCCCGGAGGTTAGCATCAGCCATATCCTGATGGATGACAAAAAAGGTTCTTTAAGATGACTTTTTTTTAACATGGCCTTGAACACCAATCACTGGCACTGATAGGAAATGCATAACACACCAAGTGATCCAACTCAAAAAGATTCTCAGAGAGAGGTCGGGGGGAGAAAAGGAAGACAGAGAGAGAGGTACTGTAAAAAAAGAGAAAAGAAAAAAAAGGTATCTGTATGCACTGATGTCTTGTTCACCTAGCAATCCAGCTCAAAATGATTCTCAAAGAAAGAGCAAGGGGAGGAAGAGAGAAAGGAGGAAGAGTGTAAAGTACTGTGAAAAAGTTTTAAAAATTGACTATCACTTGAAGAGTCAATTGAAACAGTTGTCGATCTGATATTGTTCCTAGATCAGGGAATGCCTGATACTAACTCGATTCCCTGCTGCCTAACTCTCTCTCACACTGATTGCTAACTCTGTCTCTATATCTAGCATACAACTTCAGTCAGCCCTGTTCATGTTTCCATAGCAACAGCTCACAACCACTGCCTTATTTTAAAACCTCATCGCAGTCTACCAGGAGGCTGGGATGAGGTGATGTGGAGCTGGAGTATCTGTATATATAGGTGGAGGTAACATTCAGTGTTCATTTAATTTTTTTTTTTTTTTCCCTTTTCTGGGATTATTTATTTTTTTACAACAGTTTTAACTATTTTCAATTCTAATGAAGCGATGTTGACATTTAATGTGTGGCTGCCTTTCCTTAAGGCTGCTTTTTTTTCTTTAGCCTTTCTGTATTTTTTTTTATCTCTTGAGAAAAGGATTAATTTTTACAATTTTTAATTTCTTTCACTTGTATGAACAAAGCGATTAATCACTACACGTTTAACGCTTGGCTAATTGTTTATCATTTTCTTTGCTTTTTGATTTTTATTAAATTTCTTCTTTTTTATTTTTAAATAATCAGAAGTTTTTGACATTGCTTGTGCTATGATTAAGAAAACCAAAACCAGCTTTCTCAATTTAACTTGTGCAGTCCTAATGCAGTCGAGAGCAAGCAGACTTGATAAAATCCTAGAAGTTTATTCAAGCAGCTAACCTAAGGGTGTTTGGAAAGTAATTTCATTTTACCAAAAAGAATAAAAAAACAGATGCAAGTTAGTTTTATTGAAATGTTAAAGGATTTGGATAGTAATCATGTTTTACCTGAAGGGAGTGATTTTTTTTTTTTTTTTTTTTGGCAGCTTATCAACTCTTTGTGGGTTATTTAAATCTGAAATATTTTTCAGTTTAAGAATAATTCTTTCTTGTGAAGAACAATGATTTTTCTTGATATAAGTTCTCCTATTTAACCCATATCTAGGAGGAGAAGAGAGGGACTGATATCTTTGCCAATGGTATTAGTGCATAAGTGAAAATAATGAACACAACTGGAATTGGAACTTGGCTCTTTGATTGCCAATTCCAAGTCATCAGCCATTACAGCACTGACACATCCAAGCTTAGAGCATCTGGTATTCACAACCAGTCACCCATCTAGGTACTTGCCATGCACGATGTTGCTTAACTTTGGTGATCTTATGAGAACTGGTGTTTCAATATATGGGCTGGAATTTGAACTTGGCTCTCATCAGAAAGGATATGAAAACAAATGTGCATTAAATTTATTGAAATATTATTTATTGAAAATGTAACCATCTTCATTTTCAACCACTGCAGTGCAAGTTTTTGCGTTTTTTTGTCCCTCCCGAAAGAAAGCTTGAAGGACTGGTTTTGACTTCTCCTTTGTTTCTTAAAATTCTGCCACTTTTGAAATGTTCTAGAAATCGAAACAGATAGAAATCTCTAGACGTTAAATCTGCTGAGTATGGAGGATGTGGAAGAAGCCCCCCCACACACACACACAATGATCTTATTTTTCCTTGGTTTTGTTTTGCAGAGTGTTTTTTTGCTTTGTCATGCTGGAAAATAACACCTTTTCTGTTTGCCAAAGCAAGACACTTTCAATGTAATGCTTTTTTTACCCAATCAAGTTGATGGCAATAGACATCTGCAGTAATGGTCCTTCCTTGTTCCATTTGCTCGTAATGGATAATAACTTTCATTTTCTTCCACACAGAAATCGAGGACTTATTGTAAATGAAGTCCTAGTTTTAATGTTGGCACTGCTTTCTTATTCTGTGATAACTATATTTTTTTTCTGTTGACATGCAAAACACATTGTTCATCACCTGTAACAATGCAATACAAAATATTTATACATTAATTCACTTTAAAGTTCAAGCATATTGAAAAAGGACTTTTCATTATGTCTATTTTTATGAAATGTTTTCTAACTAAACTTCATACATCCTTTTATTTCCTTTTCCTGCCATCACCTGTGCTAAGGAGATGAATTCCTGGACATGATCCAGTTCTTTATCCTTTATTTGTGCAAACTTTTTGGGAATGTTACTAGTGAACCTGATTTTCTATAAATTTATTTCTGTTCATTTTTAAAACAACCTTGAGATCTACATTATTCGGATCGTTCAGCATTTCTTGCATTTCATCAGATAATTCCGGTGTAGGATGTTAGAAAATTGTAAATGTATGCAAAAGTACCTGGCACTCTTTTTTTGAAAAAAAAAACCTAAAAAACAAAAATAGACCGAAACTGTTTTGGCCATACTTAAATTGACTGGTCAAAAAAAAAAGAATAGAGAAACATTTTTGGGGAATCATTTTTATAGATTATCATTCATTGAACATTCTTCAAGCCACAACATTAGTCAGAATCATAAAAATATTGGGGGTGTGGGCTCTAAATCATTTTGAAAGTGAGGAGTCCTATTCATAATATAAATACAAAAAAAAAAAATAACTCAAACAAAATGGAATCCCCCATACTGAGTGTATCTGAAAACAAGACTTTTCTTTAAGCCAATATCTAACTTGGAGCATCGTAAACTTTTTGTATTAGTGACACATTTTTAAAAAATGAACAAGGCTTGTTAGCATAGTGAAAATGGGATACAGACTGAGCAGCCTACCACTATAGATAATAGTACCTGCCCTGTTGGTCAAACATGATATTTAATGACCACTATTTCAAGCATACTACATGTGTAATAGGTTTGTGCCAACCAGTTTCAGATTGCTTCAATGTCATGGTAAAGCACTGAACAGTAAACATAATAAATGAATTCAATTTGAACTTTAACAATTTGCCTGTAGATAACAACTGATTACATTTTCTTACATTGCAATATATTTTCTGTACATTGCAATATAATTTATATTGTGTTCCTCTTCTCCTCATTAAATGAGCGTCTCATCTGACATGCTAAAACTGATCAGATGCAGTTCATTACAACAATCCAGCAAGGTTGAATTACTCTTTTAAAGGCTGCACATTATCTTGTTCCATTCTTGAAAGCCTCATTGTTTTTTTTCAGTCTTTATTTATTTTGCATTACACTTGAACCTAAAGTTAAACTTCCACATCACACTTAAATTATTATGATAAAAAAAAAAAAGATTTATGATTTATTTATTCACATATCAGCATTCATCAGTAAGTCCTTATCAAGTCGTACCATCTATGGTGAGTTGTGTACCTCATTTTGCACACCCCACTCTATATATTATGTATACGTCTATTTATTATAACAATGATATACTTGTATACTCAATTTAAGGGGTGTTTAATTCTGATATATACAGTTATCATGCTTTGGACTTATTTAAAAAATAATTTTATTAATGACCTTTAAAAAATTTTACTGCACAGCTATGATCTCACGGCATGTAATCGCCGTCTTATCTGCTCGATTTTGTATCTGAAACATAAGCACAAACAATTTCTAAGAAATTAATGGATTTTATTTTTAATCCAACCTTATTTCTCATTGCTCCAAATGTTATTTTGTGGATACACATGTTTAAGTAGACGCCCTGTTTTTTAAACACTTTCTTTATGAAGTCCATTGAATGTGAAGGTTAGTAGATTTATGTTATACTGTTTAAAAAAAGACATCTACTCAAATTCATTAAATAGCATTTGCAGTAATAAGAAATAATGCTCAGATTAAAAGTAAAATTAATTCACTAGAAATTGCTTTGTTTACATTTTGGATACAAAATCGAGTAGATAGGTTTGTCTATTGTCTGGTTCAAAATCCTCCCTGATCTTTTGAACAGGAGTAAAGGTTTATTCCTTGTTTCTGGTTTCTTTTAAAATCTTCCCATTCTCTTTCACTCTCAGTGGTCCCTTGTGTCTCAGTGGCATTATTGCCTTGTTTGGGGTGAATTGATTAAAAAGAAAAAAGAAGGGCTATCAAGTAAATATAATGTCCATTGAATGTGAAAGAACTTAGGTCACACCATTTAAAAAACAATGTGTCTACTTTTGTTATATTTACTGTACATTTTTCCTTTACTTGTTTTTTTTGCCTACACCCTTAACGGACATGATATAAATAAAAGACAATCATAACTCTCTACACATTCCTTTTTTTAATTATCTGTGGAGTGAAGTATTTTTCTGTTACTTTTTCCCTATATGTATGAAATTCAGAATTCTCCTTCTCTTACACTAGTTGCCAGTTAATGGCTGGGAACAGAAAAGAGACTTATTTATGCTTTTACCCAAGGGTACTTGTATCAAAATAAACACAATTGACTAGCCTAGAATTTTCACTTCACTTCTTGATTCCATTTCCCACTCAGTTAACCATTACATTGCAGGTGGACATCCTGTCATACAAAAAAATCCCAAAGTGTTTGGGATCCAAGTGTTTCACATAAGTGATTGGGTAACTTTAATAGAAACATTACATCATTGTATACAGCCACACCTCACTTAACAACTGGTTTCCATTTCAACAAGCTATTAACTAAATAAGAAACTGTACCTGACCAATATTTCAGGCATAGGACATGTGTAATGGATTTTATGCCAACCAGTTTCAGATAGCGTTAATGTCACTTTTGCATCATTAGGAACGCTTCTAATTTATCTCTAGATAAAAATCTGATCCTCACAGGACGGATTAAGGGAAAGAGGGTCAGAGGAAAGAAGCACATAACATACTTGATGGGCTTGAGCAAATGGATTGTAGAACAGGGTTTGGGAGAAATAACAGAGAGACAAAAATTATTAAGAGGTACAAGGGATAAGAAGATGTGGAGGGCCATGATCACCTACATCCTGAAGGGACATGGCACATAAAAGAAGTGTAGTGAACATTAAACGTAATAAACAAATTCAAAACTCAGCTCTATATTCAGTGCATAACTTTTCTTTTGCATCAGGCAAATACAGTACACGTACATTTTCAATTTCTTTTTCTTTTTCTTAAAAGTGAATCACGATCATAGTTTTTTGTACAATATACAGTACTGACTAATTGGATTTAGTTTTCATTTTATGAGATTTCATAGCTGATAGGCTTACGGCTATATCATGTTGAAATAACAGTTCTATGATCACTGAAGTTAAGCAACATCAAACCTGGTCAGTACCTAGATGAGTGACTGCTTGGGAATGTTAGGTGCTTTAAGCTTGGATATGCAGGTGGTTTAATGGATAATGGTTTGAAATTGGAAAGCCAAGTTCCAATACCAGATGGGTTCATTTTATATATATATATATATATATATATATATATATATACATACATACAATCAGGTTCACTCTGTACATAGCTCAAGAGCCCTTGAGGTAAAGTTTTACAGAGTAAAAGGCACCACCTCAAGCAAGGTGACAATGCCATCAAAACACAAAGGGCCCTGGGAGTGAAAGAGAATGAAAATATTTTAGAAGTAACTGGAAACCCAGCCCTAAACAGCAAACAAGGGATAAACCTCTACTCCCGTTCAACAGACCGGGGTGGAGAGTGCATTTACGCATGTGCATCAATGTAAACATCACTTCTTTTTTTTTTAAATCATTTCACCCCAAGCAAGGTGACAATACCACTAAGACGCAAGGAACTACTGGGAGTGAAAGAGAATGAGAAGACTTTAGAATAGGTACCTCCACTTTTATGCTAAAAAAAGATCATAGCATGATGAAAAAGGCCCCAAACTTGTTGAAAACAAAATTTTATCATCAAAATGTTTGTTATTATTAAGAGGAAAGACCAAAGTATTTTTTTTATTTTATTAAATTTTTTACTCCTTTTTGTTAGAAATCTTATTTTTCTTATGCCAGGAATGTGAAATTTAATGTCTTTTTAGTAATCAAAACCACATTGTTTTGGAAATTCTTGTAAAAATCAAATAATTGTCAGATTTTAATGACATTTTCAGGACTTAATTACAAATGAATTAGATTATTATTTTTTTTTTTTAGAAAATCTTTGTAAAAATATTTTTTTTAACATCTGTTACCACCACTTAATTTTATGAAATTTTGAGAAATTAAAATTTCTGCCTTATCATATTTATATTAATTAAAAGCAGAAATCCTTTGAGAATTTAAATCATCAATTTGTTTTTGTCAAACAAAAACATCATTTACTGAAAATCTGCTGTGAATCATAAAATAAAAATTCAATAAAACTATTACATTATTTAATTAGAAAAGCTTTTAACTGCTTTTAGAGTAAAGATATA